AAGGAGGAGGCTGCAATGCTTGGTAAGAAATGTACGCATTATCCTGCCCATGCAATTGTAACCCCTCTGTACAGTATGTTCACAAATAAAATAAAATTTAAAAAAAAAGAATCTTACAAACTTTCCTGCCCAGGCTTGTTTCAAACTATAATCCTAGAATCTCAGCCTCGTGAATAGCTACAATTACACTCATGAGCCACAGGAGCCCAGCTAAGTGTTCACTTTTGATGATGCAGTGAAGATGTAGACTTTGTTATCTATTTAATAGACATGAAGTTTAAATTTAGCAGTCATCTCAACAATGAAAAGACAAAAAGCCGAGCAGAAGTGGCATTGTGGCTCAAGTGGTAGAGTGCTAGCCTTGAGCACAAAGAAGCTCAGGGACAGCACTCAGGCCCTGAGTTTAAGCCCCACAACCAACCGACCGAAAGACAGAGAGAGACAGACAGATGGACAGACAGAAGGAAGATAGGAAGGTTTGAAGGAAGGAAGAAAAGGAGGGGAGGGAGGAAGGGAGGGAGGGAGGGAAGGAAGGAGGGAGGGAGAAAAAAGCTTAGAAATATCTTCCTTGGCAACGGGAAGTACATTTGCTGTCAACAAAATCCTATTTGTAAATACCTTAAATATATGTCCTAGATGAAGCAAAATGTTCTCCTGGTTTTCAAATGCTTAAAAATTACTGCTAATGAGAACATCCTTTAATCACACTTTAAATCTATCTCTATTTCTTCCAATTAAACATCTGCTTGGAGAACTTCATAATAGAATTTGTAAAGAAAGATGATATTTGAAATAGTTGTGTTTTTAAATAATTTAGAGCTCATTTAAAAAAAAAAATCTGTGTGGGGCTGGGAAGGTGGCTCAGTGGTAGAGCGCTTGCCTTGCATGCCTGAGGCTCTGGGTTGGATTCCTCAGCACCACATAAGCAAAAAAGAAAAAAGCCAGAAGTGGCGCTGTGGCTCAAGTGGTAGAGCACTAGCCTTGAGTTGAAGAGCTGAGGGACAGCGCCCAGGCCTAGAGTTCAGGCCCCATGACTGGACCCCCCAAAAAAAAATCTGTGTGTGGGGCTGGGAAGGTGGCTCAGTGGTAGAGCACTTGCCTTGCATGCATGAGGCCCTGGGTTCAATTCCTCAACACCACATAAGCAAAAAGAACAAAGCCGGAAGTGGCACTGTGGCTCAGGTGGTAGAGTGCTAGCCTTGAGCTGAAGAGTTGAGGGATATCGCCCAGGCCCAGAGTTCAGGCCCCACGACCACATCCCCCCAAAAAAACATCTGTGTGAAAATAAAGCACAGAAATACTGTCGTTCTTTCTAATATAGACACATATACACATATAAATATGTATATATATATATATATATATCTCATATCTATACACTTTGTTATCCTTACAACACTAGTATTAGAGATCAGCTATATTTTCACTGCTATACAAAACCAGTTTGATAATTCTGATTCTGGCAGTAACTACTTACAGTTAAATATTTTCAAATAATTTCATATTCCATGAAGACTACATGACAGGAATTCTTAAGTCAAGAGTGCCCCCTAGTGCTAAGAAAAAGATTTTAATTTAAATGTTAAAGGTATTGCATCCTTAACCTATTTTACATATTAAATATGTAAACTATAATATTTACTGAAGAGATTTTATAGATTTGGGTAACAGATTGTAAATTATAATAATCAAGATTTCTCTGTCTACTTTGCAACTGTCATTCCAATATTCTATTAATACAGAGGTGATATTACAATTCATTATGTATTAAGAAGAAACAGGAAAGCACACCTTAAAGAATCACTCAGAACTGTTGGCAAATGTATTTTTGTATTAAACAGTATTTGACAATACTGAAGAACATAAACATATGACATAAAAAACTTAAGTACTAAAAGAAGCATGAGTTTGTTCTTTTAGCATGTATTTCAAGATAAATTAGACAAATATTTTAGTGGCTTAGCTACTGTAATGCTATAAAATGGCACAATCATTCACAGTGACTATCAACATTTCAACTACTTTTTTTTTTCCAGTCCTAGGGCTTGAACTCAGGGCCTAGGCTCTGTCTCTGAGCCTCTCTGTGCTCAAGGCTAGTGCTCTACCACTTGAACCACACAGCGCCACTTCTAGCTTTTTCTGTTTATATGGTACTGAGGAATTGAACCCAGGGCTTCATGCATGCTAGACAAGCACTCTATCACTAAGCCACATTCCCTGACATATTTCAACTATTTTCTTTTAAAACTTTGAACTTACTCTTTTCAACTTCTAAATATAGTTACTCTAGCTGTCTTTTGGGTTTAAATCCCCTAACAGGGGTATTGGTTGTTACCAAGCAATATAATCCAAAACCATTAAATCTTGAAATATATATTTTATGGATTCATTTCTGTACTTGGGTTCGCAGAAATAAATTATGTAATTTCAGGTATAATCATTCAGCATAACTGCATACTTCACAATAGTATTCCAACAAGAAGCCAATGATGGTTTTTTTTTTAAATAAATGAATAAGGGAGCCGGGTGCTGGTGGCTCACATGTGTAATCCTAGCTTACTCAGGAGGCTGAGATCTAAGGATCGTGGTTCAAAGCCAGCCTGCACAGGAAAGTCCGTGAGACTCTTACCATCTTCAATAAACCACCAGCAAACCGGAAGTAGTGCTGTGGCTCAAGTGGTAGAGTGCTAACCTTGAGCTGAAGAGCTGAGGGACTGTGCCCAGGCCCAGAGTTCAAGCCCCACAACCAACCAAAAAAAAGAACAAGGGAAACATTTAAAGCAAGAATTCTTCACCAACTAAACTTATTTTGTGGTATCAATCACATCTTCTTTTCTAAGATAATTTATGCTATAATTATTTAATATACTATGCTAAAAAAAAAACAGGTAATAGTTTTACAAAACATACTCCAGAAGAACAGTTTTTAAAAAACAGGTAGTAAACGTAATTTTGGTATGCTTTCTTTGGGAACATTTATAAAACTTCAAAAGGAATACTATTTGCAATAGTAAAATTAGAAGCAACTTTAATACCTTTGTATAAAAGGCATTAGCATGTGTCTATTCTTTTTCTCTCTTGTGCTTTGAACTTCATATTGCAATATTTGGTTGTTAGGAAACAGCTTTTAGATATCTGCTGGGGGTAAGAGGTCAGAAACTTAACTGTGATTTGCTACAAAAACTCACTGGAGTGTTTCATGTACCTTTTTTGAAACATCAACTCCAAAATTTAAAAAAAAATCTGACTAACCTCTAGACTCTGAAAATAAGATTTTAGTTGCCTCTCCATTTCCATTCTTAATAGTGCCTCTGAAGTTCACACAGAAAACTTTAAAAATTAGTTTTTGTCCTCAGTTTTTATCTGTAAATTTCATCCTTACTTCTTTTGTATATTATATAATAAATGTCTACAAATCATTAACCGACTACAATGTTGGGTATATATAAATAAGATTGAAATGTAGGTTGATGGTTAATAAAACTTTCTAGAAGAGTTATCATTAAAGGAGCTCTCTAAATGTTTTGTTGTCTTATTTGTATTACATTCATAAAAGTGTGACCTTGGGTTAACAAAAATAACCTTATGCCACCTACTCTGAGCATAATGAACTACTTCCAGGTTTTAACAGAACTGATGTAAAATATATCACATAAACAAAAAAGTATTTGTGTTTGGTTTCAGAAAAAAGAAAAAGCATACATCTAAAAAGGTTTGAATGGACAATTACACAACAGACATAAAAATGGCAAACATAAAAATAGAAATTAAATCTTACTGTACTAGTCTTATAAAATTTTGAGAGAAAAAAAGACAAAATTAAAACACCGTAGTTGCAATTCAATATTTAAAAGTTAGCACAGAGTAACATTTAAATATTAAAGCCAGGCACCAGTGGCTCACACCTGTAATGCTACTCAGGAGGCTGAAATCTGAGGACAGTGGTAGAAGCCAGCCAGTGTAGGAAAGTCCATGAGACTCTTTTTTTTTTTTTGGGTCCGGTCATGGGGCCTGGGCGCTGTCCCTCAGCTCTTCAGCTCAAGGCTAGCGCTCTACCACTTGAGCCACAGTGCCACTTCCGGCTTTTTTCTTTTTGCTTA